ATCCACCCATCCACCCACCCACCCATCCACCCATCCATCCATCCATCCATCCACCCATCCATCCATCCATCCATCCACCCATCCACCCATCCACCTACCCATCCAGCCATCCACTCACCCATCCACCCATCCACCCACCCATTTTTTCTGTCATTTATCTCATGTCTATCCTGTATGCACTACCCACCCATCATCCTATTTCATCACTTTCAACCCATGTAACATCTGTCTATTTTCTAAGCAGTAATTCTCTGTCTGTTCATATCTATGTATCTATCCTCTACCCAACCATCCATCATCTATCCTCTACCCACCCATCTGCATCCATCAGCCATCCTTGATTTATTGTCTGTCTCTCTGTCTGTCTATCAATCCATCATCTAATCCAGTAGTTCATGACCAGGGGAAAATTTTTGTCACTCTGGTCTGCTCCAGGAGACACTTAGCAATGTCTGAGGACATTCTCCTTGCCATGGTAGAGGGGGATGCTCCTCGCACCTCATGGGTGGAATCCAGGGGTGCTGACAATGTGGTTGAGATCTAGGTGTCCCGTCCCTCAAAGGTTCCTGTGTTCAGAGCTGGGCTTTGGAAGGTGACTGGCTCATGGGGCGCTGTGCTCATCAGTGGATGCATCATGGATGAGCTCCTGGTGAATGAGCTGTAGGAGGTGGGGCCTGGCTGGAGGCGGTCACTGGGGTGTGACCTGGAAGGGTGAGTTCTTGTCCCAGCTCCTCCCTTCTCTCTCTGGTTCCTGGTCACCATGATGTGAGCATCTTTCCTCCTCCACTCCTGTCCACCATGATGTTCCTGCCTCGGGGCAGCTAACCATGGACTGAACCCCCTGAGACCATTGGAGCAGCCGACCATGGACTGAACCCTCTGAATCTATTGGTTTACTGAAGGACTCCACTTCCTGCGGTGCACAGCGCTAGCCCTGCAAACAACCACCCCTCCTGTTCCACCTGCCTCCATCCCCGACCTTCACAGCCATCCGGAGCCACCTGGGAGCCCTGCCCTGGCAGCAGACCCCTGGGTGGCAAACCTCCCCTTCCACGCCCACAATGTCCTCTGCCCAGTGCTCCAGGCCTCTTCTTGAAGCCACCTGGCTTCTCCCTGTGGCCTCACTGCCACCTGGCCAGGTCTCTCCTATATCACGGCACTGAGCGAGTCAGCCCCTGTCTGCTGCCCTGTGGCCTGGACTGCTCCTTGGGGCCTCCCAGCCTCGACTTCCCCACTTGGATGGAATGGAAGCAGAAGTGCGGACCTCACAGCTCGAGGGCCCCTGCGGTCACCTGTGGTTTCCAGACCCCCAGAGGCAGGCGGAAGCAGTTCCACTCGTGTCCCCCTTGGTGTGGACGTGGCTGCCCGGCCCAGAGCACTGTGCTCCGTGTGCCCCGGACTGGGGCTCAAATTCTGCCAACTCTGGAGGACCCAGGTGTGGGGCGGGGGTGAACTCCGGAATCTGACTGCACCCGCCCTGCTGCTCCAGGGACAGAAAGGGAGGCAGATGGGGCTGGGAAGGAGGAGGAGGAGGAGGAGAAGGAGGAGGAGATGGAGGAGGAGGAGATGGAGGAGGAGGAGATGGAGGAGGAGGAGGAGGT